TGCTAAATTTTCAATATGAATTGCGCCTAATTGATCCACCAAATTTTTCTGCATCCCAAGCAGCAAATAGCTTTTAAAAATTTGTTGACCTCGTTTAATCTTCAATTTCAATTATATCCCACCGCCTAAATGCTTCACTCGGTCAATCATTTACTTCCTCACTCACCAACCCGCTCACTCATTCAGTCAGTAGCCTACTCACTCGCTTACTCACTTCTTCTTTCTCTTTTGCTCCCCCACTTATTCGCTCACTTATTAAATAACTCACTCGTTCTTTCACTCTTACACTCATAAAGTTCAATATTCACTCACTCGTTCAATACCTAACTCTTTCACTTTTGAACTCCAGCTCAATTAAACATTCCTCCACTAATTCATCAACTAAATCAAACTCTCACTCACTTTTTCACTCACACTCTCTCATGCTCAATTACGAGATCACTCACTGACTCTTTCATCCACTCCCGGACCCAGACACTCGCTCACTCATGTCTCGATCACTTCATCGCTCACTATTTAAAAAATTTCCAAGACGAATTCTGCTCGTATTCTAATCTATCACGAGCGTCAGTTGTTTGATTATCCCCTTACCCGCAAAACTCTCAATAAATAATAGAATACGGAGCCAAAGTTGCAATCTATTGTGTTGTGGGCACTGGCACATTAGAGGCAAAAAGGCAATAATAAGTATACCAACTTTAGTATATTCTTAGATTAGACTTTTTTACTCTATACAACTTCAACAATGACTCAGATAACTATCTGTTACAGCCTCCACAAACCTCTTTTTAGCAAAAAAAAAACTTAGCAAACACAATGCATCTGGGAATTATAGGGTGATCAATCTAACCTCTTTGTTTTTAATCTTAATTAAAACACTTAAAACAGAAATGGATGTCGGAATCATTACCTTAAACACGAATCTCTCACATTTTTCCTTTAACGCTACCGCACCATGTTAACGGATTTTTGTTGTCGGAAATTGAAGCCCCTGATATCAGCAACATTTCGTTTCGTGTGAGATCATTCTATCTAGATCTTCGTCTATATAATTCAAACTTGGAAGACAACCTTACAAGCGTAATTCGCAAGATACCGGTAGCAATGATGGAAAGATTAATTGAAAATTTGGCCTTCCAAATAGACCACCTACAGCATAGTCACGGACAACATTTGGGAGAAATTATTTTTAACCAGTGAATGTAAGAGATTGTCCTTTCGCCTATTAATAACATACACAGTATACCACTGAAAACAAAGACTGAAAGAAACAACGATAAAATAAGTTATTTTAAAATTTTATTCTCAAAATATTTCTATAAAAAACTGTAGAGAAGATTAACAATCACTTCATGATACAGCTGCACTAGGATCAGCAGGAACGAGGACGAATTCTAAAATATATAAATTTTTACATATAACACTTATAAGTACATACATACTTATATAAAAACATACAAAAGTACATACACGTGAAATTGTTAATACTCTCATCTTCAATCAAAATAAACACATTTTTTTACTTAATTGAAACACAAAACCTTTAATACTCAATTTGAATTTGGATTACTATGAAATAATTAAATAAATGTGTAATTATGTTTGTTGGCATATTTACACACGCGCAATTTTGTTTGCAAAAAAATTAAATTTATTTACATTGAACCATTGTAATTATTGACACTAACAGCTGTAGCAAGCTGTTTGGATGGCAACAACAAAAACTCCACTGCTGACGTTTGATATCAAAAGTGCAAGCAAATATTGAAAAAATTAACGGCAATATTTTGTGAAATTTAAATTAAAAAATTAATGCTTCACATTTGTAAACTACTCATATTCACGAGTGCTACGATGCGCGCGTGCTTGCGGACGTTGATGATGCTGTGGTGAAGAGTGAAGGGCGAAATTGTTTTAAATATGTAAGTAAATGCTGTACTAACAATATTTGCGCGTACGGTGATTACATTTCAATTAAAAATTCCTTTGTTTGGTTTAAAGCTTGGGAGTGCAAGCACAAACAATAGAAAACACAACATAGCGCTGCAACAACAGTAGTTACTACTACATCGTATGTTCATATACATATGTATGTATGTGTAAATATGTAGTTGATTCCCTGCAGGAAGTGGTGTTAGCTTATATTTAAATTATTAAATATTCAAAATGATAAGCCATACATATAAAATTTTGATATTCACTTTATTTGTTCTGAATTCGAAAAAGCATCTGCGAAATGCCGAAGAAAGGGGTGTTCAAAGTAAAAATATTTAAATAAGAACTTGTTTAAAGACAACTAACTACCGATTACGTCTGCATGACTCCTGCTTAACTCTACAACTCACATTAAGTTGGCTTTGTCAAAGCCAGTGTAGCCATTTTAGCTCTTTTCCAGCTAGATTTAGCCGTTTTACCGCGGTTTAGCTACAAAAATTACAATTTAGCTTTTAATTTTTTTCTGAAAATATTTTAGCTGTTTTCTAAATTAAGAAATATCCAAATAAAAAATATTGTACAAATAACCTCGGCTCAATTAATCTTCACAAAATTGTAAAACGCGATAACCAGCGCAGCTGAGTTGACAGACAGTTGTCAGAATTGCCCTGTTATTTTAAGATGTTTCTTGCTTGCTCTTATGGGGAACATTTTTTGGCACCATGCACATACATACATACTTACACACGAGAATACCCCTAACGATATACATATGTATGTAAATGAGAAAAATGCAGAGTTTTTCTCTCAAAATTCGCACACTTTTTATGTGCCTCGGCAATGCATTGATTTTGAAATCCGCAAACAAATTGGTTTCGACCATACGTACATATATATTATATATATATATATATTGTATATAAAACTTGTACACTTTTTTCTGTTAATATTATTATTTTATGGAAAGCTATAGTTATTTAATACAAAGTATAGCTTAAAATCCGGACAGTAGTAGTCATAATAATCACAAAAAAAAACTTTGTACAATGTTGACACTTACGGTGGATATATAGAAAAACTCGTTGATATGATTTGATTTCCGCACTGTTCTTGGTATTTTATTTTAACCATAACGATGAGGTTAATGGCATAAGGACTGCGCTTTTTTGCAATAATTTTCTGGATTTTGTTTTTTTTTTATCATAGACTTTTTGATGCTTTTACTAACAGCAATATTAAGTGTGTATGTACGTATGTGCATACATACATACATAGTATAACGGTTTTCCATTTTTGGTAAAGAGTTCTTTTACTCACTGGTTATAAATAGATTTCTTTCATATTTTATGTTGTTAATTTTGAATTTTAATCCATCCACACGATCTAAAAATAAATCGAAGCGTATTGCTGAGCGTTAAAGAGCTCAGGTGTTTGTCTGTCAACATATCGCTGCTAAATGCCTCATGCAAGGATTAGGTCCTTGCAAAGCAGGAAAAGAAGCACAAAAAGTTCTCCGCCATCTCGTCTTCTTCAAGGCAGAGTAAAATGGTTTTGTTATGATTCCTAATTAGAGGGCTGGCTAATGCCAGGAGAGGTACTTGGCTGTAACTACAGACAGGTAAAATCCTGCTTCCCTATCTATTTTCCAACAATGTAGTCCATGACCTTGAGTATTCCAAATACCTCGGCTTGGAATACCGAAAGATATTGTGCAAGAGGGAAGTGAAGATACGGACTCTGTGCCAGTTCTGGAGACATCAATAAATATTCCACACTGCGTATGTCCCCGCTCAGTGTTAAGGTTTATATTGGTTTTTTGTATACCTTGAGTGTGATTTTTATTTTTTCCCACGTGGCCTTATGTAGATATATGTATTTATATTCCTTAAGCCTGTTATTGGGGTATGAAAACCAGAGCGCTTGGGTATATAAATATTACCCGTAAAGTAGCTAAAGTAACAAAATAGATAGATAGTGTGAACATTACTACGTAACAGTAGCACTTAGAAAAATTAAGTGAGAAAAGTGTGTAGAAGTGGAAAAAAGTAAACGAAATAAAATAAATACATAGCCATTAAAAGAGAAAAAAAGGACTTGATAAAAAAAGGTATGTTATCTTAGTGAACGTCAAAACGCTTCAAGTAAATTTCATAATAGTATGCTCAAGAAAAGTGAGAAAAGCACAATAAAACTGAATAAATGCGCACTTTAACCCACCGATAAGTAATGACGGTAAAATAAAACATACCGGCAGCATGTTGAATAGAATATTAGCAAAGCGTGAAGATGAAAAAAAAAAGAAGAAAAAAAAACAGCTAACAAACATTATCTCAATGAAAAGCTAGCAGTTAGCAGCCATCAACAAGGCAGTCAACGAAAAGACCATCATCACCGACCGAAGAGTTGGAAGATGAATTACGAAATGACCCACAGGCAGCCACATCAGACATCATTAGTAGAAGGCGTATGTATATATGTATGTATGTATTTTAGAATTTGGCCAAAAGGAAATCGGCAAATCGAGGAAGGATGTCATAAAAGTACGAGCGCTAGTGCAGTGCATGTCAGTTTGTATGTGCGTATGTATGTATGTGCTTATGAAAGATCTACATCTTGATAGTTGAGTTGAAAAATACACTTTACGCTTCAATTTCCCTAATCATGGTCATTAGTGCCCTCATTAGCGTTCGAAAATCCTCGTTAGTCCACCTTATACTTCTTCTCGCTTTTGATTGTATTTCTTCGATATCCGCCGATTTGGCAGCACTTTCGTCACGGCCTTGCATCAATTGTAAAGACAGGCGGTAGATAATTATTGATCGGAAATTTTGATTTGTTATTGCGCGCGTCAATTTTTCTGTCTGCTTTACGTTTCGTCTACAATAAAATCGTTAATAACACTTTGATAGAAATTCCAAAAAAGTTTTTTTCTTCTTTTTTTTCTATTCACTGTTATTCTTTCGCTATAATCTATTTCATGGTGATTTCAGTTTTCCCAAAAGAAATGCATTTTCATCGAGTTTACTGCGAGCACTTCACTAAGTTGCGTTAACCACTTTTGCATTCTACTTTCTAATTTCAAAAGCTTCTGTAGTGTACTTTTCGATCTTTTTCACCTCGGTAAATACCATTTGCGTTATTTGCGATGCGAAAGCTTCTGCCGTTTCCATGACTTTTTTGAATTTATCCAAATTTGGTAAGACGCCTTCAATATGTCCCTTAATTCTTTCTTTGTCAACTTCTTTCACCCAACCGCGTAGCCCCAGCAAATTTACTTGCGTTTCCAAAAATTTGTTGAACATTTCTTTCGGGAATTTGCCTTTAAAGTCGAAATCCAAAGAAAATAATTCCTCCTTGGACATAATTGTAAATTTGGATTGTTATTTGCCGAATGAACGAAACTTTTTTTTTTGGAGTTTATATATTTCTATTGCCAGGAATTGCTATGATAGTTAGGATAGTTTAAAAATGAATACATTTTGGAACAATTTTTAAATTTCTAAAACGGTAAAGTTAAATTAGAGTTGAAAGTTGGTCATCTGCCGGTTTTCTACAAGATGGTAAATTATTTTTGATTACTTTGAGGCACAGTATACAGTAATCCAGATAGCCAAAACAAAAAATGTAAATATGCTTATTTGACATTTTGTTTGAATGTATTGGTTGATATTTTTTCACAGTTTCGTTTTCGTTAACCCAAATGAAATCCAATTTAAATATTTTCTTATAGTGAAAAATATTTTCAAGTTACATAAAATAAAATAACGAGAAAAACCAAATTCCAAGCAAATCAAGCGTGAAGCGTAAGCGATTATGACCGGATGCAGTTCCTACATAAGTCAAACCGTGTTCCGAACACAACTTTGAGTGAATAATGGTGGGCTGACTTTGTAAAATGGTCCCATCGATTAGGCGGTAAAACAAGCATTACTTAGCTTATTTTGGAATGTACAAAATTTGTATGTATTTCTTCAACCGCTTATTCACATTTGAAAGAGGATAATGCATGAATTGATGCAAGTAAAGACGGTTTATGCAGATAAGCAAGCGCGTTTGTTAACCGTATAAAATCTATGTACATATATACACATATGCATACATATATATCAAAATATTCAGAATGACGAGATGAATTGGTCCAGGCCTCTCTGTTTGTAAACACGCTAACTTGAACAAAATTTCGATATTTTAACGAAAGTCGGTGTCGAAGTTGCCTTTGATATAATTTGGGTTAGTGTTAAATTTTGGCGAAATCTGCCAATAACCACGAACACCTCCCACGTAGTAATTAAAATATTTTTGTTTTATTATTTTTTTACGAATTTTGCTGTTCAAATTTACATTTCAACAAACATTTGTGGGTACTCTTACATCAGTCGTTGCGTATGGGTTAATGACAAAAAAATCCTATACATTCACAATATTTCATGTATTAATTTTCAAATAAGCATATTGTCAATGGCTGGTTTACTGTATACTGTGCTTTGAGGTAAGTCGCTAGCAGTGTAAAACTTAGGGGACACAGGGGGTTATAAATCGCCACCATCTTGTAAACTACGGTGGTTAGTGGGGCACCAAATCTAGTGTCTTATATTTAATATTGGACTCTGCGACACAGTGATACTCCAAGTGTGCGAATAAGAGATCTGAGAACAGCATCCCTTGCGTTTCCTCTTTCCACGAGTTGAGGAAATTGCCGGAACCTCATATCATGCTCATTTTGACCACTGCTAGATGAGCGAGGAAGACGGCGTTTACTAATGCTCTGAAAACCGCATGTCCAGCTTTTCATTAAAATACAGTTGGAGATTTAACTACTGTTCACATAGCCGCCACGTTTAAAACACCGTACAATGATTTCTCTATAAGCAGAGAGAGACTTGATCCAGTCAAAACTTTCCATGCGATTGTCCTGCACTTCGAAGACAGTGCCTTAACTTTATGGGGGATCAGCTCTTCGAGAACTTCGATTGCTTAGAAAAAACTCCATTAGAGGGTGTACTAGACTTTGCTAAGAAATCGTGGTGGCTCAAAGAAATCCTCTACTGGGCATCACAATAGCCTACGCGGCCTCCGAATAAACTCTTCGACTTAACCTAACCTAACCAATTTTGTAACATCACCAGTATTAATTCACTTAAAGAAATCCTATTACATAAAGTATGTTCAAAAGAACGGGACTTCTATTTTTTTTGCAAAATTGTACCTTTCCGTACCTAAATAGCTTGGAATTCTTTTTTCGTACCCCACTTATAAGTTTTTTTGTAGTACATTAGACTAAAGTAAACAAAAACACACATCCTTCGGCTTGTTAGACGTTTTATTTATTACTTTACAAATTGTCCTATATATATCTTTTTTATGCCAATATAGTCACAATTTAACTTTGTATCTTCAAGAAACGCGCCACACTCAGTTTTTCAATTCGAAGTTCAACTCAGAAGTGCACTTAGAGCATATCAAATGTGAAGTTGGGCGCATTTTGTGATGAAACAATTGTTTGTGTACGTACACACACACATACAATAAAATCGTAAAACATGCCGTTTTATGAAGTCATCTATTCCAGGTTTTCCAAAATGGCAATTTTTCATGTTTCCATTTTTATAGCCACAATTTTTCCGCCAGCGTTTGCGCTGATTCAACACATTATTTCGAATTTTTCGCCAGTATATTTGTTGATTTGTTTCATTTCGCCGAACACGGAGGTAATAATTTTTGAACCAAATTGCGGCGAGTTTCTTAATACAGTCTTGAGCTTATCAATCTTGGATAACTCTCCCTCCAACCGACCCTTGATACATCCATCTTCGATCTCTTGAGCCCAACCTCGGATGCCGAGATAATTGATTTCATTTTCAAGATACTGGTTGAAGAGTTCACGGGCAGCCCTTGCGCTGATCTCGAATTGACAAGCGTAGAGCACGATTTTCTTAACACGTGGTTTGGGTACTTCACTGGACATGACGATCAATTTCGAATATTAATGCCAACCGAATTCAAACCGTCTTTTATTTGCTTTGATTTAAATTCATTCTATTTATTTTCTCTTATTAAGAGTTTACAAGATTTTTAATATTTTATTTTAGAACTTTTCGATTTTGTTGAGAATATTCGCTATGAATTTTAGATTTTTTTTATTAGAGCTATAAAAGGCGAAATAAAAGTGATGCATGAATATGAGTATAAAAATAGTATACAAGCAAGTTTTAAAAGATTTTTTCTCGATTTCGAAACTAAATTGATACAGTGTATTTTATTGAAAGTAATGCCCATCGCTAGCTCTAACTTCTTCCCACATTTCTGACAATGTGTGGATTTCGCGCAAATAAAGTATCGAGCCAATTTTTGATAACTGTGAGATAGGTTTTGACCACTTGTCCATTACCGCCGTTTCTCCGTAATCGCTCGCTTCAATCACATCAGTTGTTGGCTGCAGAGAGCCCTTCTCATGATACAGAATTCCCTTCCGACCCCACCACATGCAGAGCATTACCTTGCTGCCTCGTATATTTGGCTTTGACGTCGTTGGTCTGGGTCCGTCGGGGTTAACATAGGCCTACTGGCGATTAGGATTGTTGTAATGAAACCATTTTTTATCGCCGATAATAATACAATGAAAAACGACTTCGCTGGGTACCGTTGAAGAGCCATTTCAGAAACTGTGACACGCCCTTGGATATCTCTTGGTTTGAGTTCGTGAGGCACCCAGTTCCCGACATTCTGGACCATACCAATGTTTTTCAATGGCAACGAAATATATTTCTGAGTCATGCGTGATATTGCCGCAAGTTCTTCTTGGGTTTGGCTTGGGTTTTCGACCAAAATTGCCTCCACTTCTGCGTCTACAAGACCTCGATAAGAAGGAGGTATAATACACTGTAATTTCCGTCTTATCAACACATTTCTTTACGTGGTAGGTCCCAAGACTAGCGCAACACCGCAAGTCGTAAGCTGTCATCAAACGAAGGGTTCAGTGTTGTCAAAGCGCAATCAAATATGTTGCTCTTCTGAAAGTTTTGATGTTACAAGCCATTCCTTCGTTCAGAACAGTAGCATTTAAGTTTTGAACCCACATACTCAACTGTGGGTACCAACATTTCAATAAAAATTTTGTGCCTTGTGTTTGTTTATGCCTCGATTAAATGGAAAAAGTGATGAACTTCGATAATAATTTTTATTTATGTACATATTTTCATTTTTTCATGACTTATCAGCATTTCTAATGCCGAAAAGCAATATTTTGATTGTAATTGTCATGAGACCATTTTCAGGCGACAATTTTAGGCCCACTGAGGGGTGCTTAAAGAAGCTGAAAAAAATAACACACATTCATACATACATACTTATGTATGTACATACATAGAAATGAGCAACAGAATTTACACACCAAAATGAAGACATCTCACGACGATTAATTTGAGTAGTTTTGGGTTTCAAAGTGCACATAACTATGTAATAAATATATGCGTAGTTACCCTCTAGGAAATGGCAGTATTTCTCCATGCATGTTGTACAGTTGCCAAAGCATGAAGACATTCTCTTTCGGTGGACAGTTAATTCCGTTTTTAACATACGATGTCATTGGTGGAAAACTTTCCTCTACGATCTCCATGGAATGCATGTCTTCAATAAATTTCCTCAAGCTTTCATTAAAAAGTGGAGCGGACATATTTTTTTCTATAAGAAAAGGAAACTTCTGCTTTGTGTCCATAAGCAACGAAGAGGAATGGTTCTACATTTCATATTTTCCTGGAGGGTATGTAGTTATATAGATGTACCTACCGACGACTGCGTTATACATACATACATACATACATATTGATTATCGTTAATGGCATTTTCAACTTTTTTTTTGGTTCTTCACTTGCAACCATAAAGATGTTGTGTCGCTTTGAATTATCGTTATGTCGGTGATGTTTTAGAAGTGATTTCAATAAATTTCCGCCGCAGCTTTGGTAACGTAAATAAATCCAATGCTTTGCGGATAAAGGGCCATAAATGCTATCTGCGTGTACCACGCCGAGCTTGTACCCATGTAAATGCGTGCTTTCAGCTTTCACATGCATAATTGGATTATGCGGCCTGACAACAACATACATACATATGACCGCTTGCCGCATCCCATCATTTCAGCTGCCGAAGTGTACTCATAAATTTGGTTTCACAAAAAAAAAAAAATATCTTTATATAGACAGGCGACAAGCAAGATTAGCGCTTGTCAGCCGAAAGGGGTCCAGATTACGCGGTCCAGCGTTGCGTTGCTCAGGCATTGCTCGCGATGCGTTAATTCGATTTCATTTCTTTGCTTGCCCCCCAATTTCAAATTATCTGGGATGCTGTGTCAACAGCTGTTTTCTTGTTGTTGCTGTCTGCTTAGCGCACTGCAGCGTGTTGATAATGAACTTGAAAACTAGCTGTCTGCATACATACAACGAGTTTTTCATTTCACTTAATTGCGTTGAGATTTTTCTTTTCATAGTATCTGCTTTTTTTTTTTACTCACCTCGTAATTGCTTTTACCGAAATCGCGTTTGTTGAGTTGGGTATTTGTTAATTTAATTTTATGCTATAATTTAGCGCATTTTTTTTTGAAGCTGCGTCGCCCATCAGTTAAAGTGTAAATACTAGTTAATCGGTTGGTTTAAGTTTCTTGGGATTTCTTATTCATTGAGGCACTTTCTTTTAATTACACAAAAATCGAGTTGCTCTGTTAACGCCGCGTCTGCTGGATTCGCAGGTTTTCGCTGGTGGAGACGCGAGTAATTGGAAAGTGACAAAAACTGGCGAGGGCGGTGATTCATGCAATCACTTTCTATCTTCGCATGCCTTGATAAATATTTTTAATGGATCTTAGTTTATATTGTTTTCACTCGCATTATATTGCATACTAAGTATGCCATATTTTATAAAATAAATGCTGATGAGCCACATAAATTTACTTTCACTGTCACTGGCATTTTAAAACAAATGTCGCTTTAAAAGCTGTTTACTTATATACCCTATTGAAAGTCATATCTTAGAGGAAATAGAGTGAGGGTTCTTTTTAAGAATTAAATACAAGTAATTTTTAAGCAAAAAAGAAAACCAACTTTAATTCTCATATAAAAATTTAAGATTATCGTTAATTTCTTCATGATCCAATGATTGGATTTATATAAACCAAATTATTATGGGAACACCTTTGAGGTAACACCTTTCCTTAAAAAAAAAGTAAGTGCGCCTGGGCGCAACATCCAACAAAGTATCGTTAACAAAATCGACAATAATATTGGTTTGCTTCGATTAGAAAATCGATAAAAATCGACAAAAATATCGATAACAAAATCAATAAAAATATCGATAACAAAATCGATAAAAATATCGATAACAAAATCGATAAAAGTATCGATAACAAAATCAATATAAATAATCGACAACAAAATCAACCACAAAAATCGCTTAAAAATCTACAAAAGTATCGTTAACAAAATCGATAAATAATCGATAACAAAATCAATAAATAATCGATAACAAAATCGATAACAATATCTATTACAAAATCGATTAAAAAATATCGAAAACAAATTTGATAAAAACATCAATAACAAAATCTATAACAATATCGATAATAAAACCAAAAACAATATCGATAACAAAATCGCTAAAAATATCGATTACAAAATCAATAAAAATATCGATTATTATATCGAAAATTTCGAAGATATCGATAGCAAAATCGGTAAAAATATCGATAAGAAAATCGATAAAAATATCGATTGTTATATCGATAAGTCCTGAGAATCTCTAAAATCCCAAAATAGTTCACAGATTGAGTCTCAGGGCCTATCTATATCCTTTTCTCTATATTACCTTTATTTTAATCTTTCTTCCTCTATCTTCATCTTTACTTTTGTTTTTTTAAGTTTTTATTTTATGTTTTTGAAGGTCTTGTGAGGGCTTTGGCAGGACTTGGAATTGACCTTATACATTCCAGTTTGTCGATAAATTTCAATCATTTTATACATATCCATAATTCCATGAATTTAGAAAACACCAAAATCCGATAGCTCAACAAAATTCGATAGTTCGACTTATTTCAATAATTTTCGATAAGTGTTCATTTCGAGCGTTCGATAAATTTGGATACCTCTGTAAATTTCGATAGCTTGATTAATTTTCATAGCGCCATATTTTCCGAAAGCTATTGACAAACTCGGTACACTCCCATAACACGATTAAATTAGATAAGCAGTGATAACTCAATAAACTTATATTACTTTTCAATTTCGATAACTCAATATATTTGGAAAATTACCAAATCAATAAATATCGATAACTCGATAAATTCAATTAACTCTACAAATAATGATAATTCATAAATATCGATAACTTGGTAGATTTCATTGACTGGACAACTTTCTATAGTCCCATAAATTTTTACAGTTCTTTAACTATTTATCCGTAAATTTCGAAATCTAAGTTTCTGTATCTATAAAATAAACATGGATAACTCGATAAATTTCGATAACTATAAACTTCGATGAATCGGTAGCTTGACAACTTTTGATAACTAAATTTTTTATGACTGAATTCCTGTCGAAAAATATCAATACAATTTCTTACGCTTTCAGTTTTTTGAGTTCTTATTTGCTTTCATTTTCATCTTTTCTTTGCCTTCACTTTTTTGTCTTACTAGCTTTTACCATTTATTTCTTGATAATCACATTTATTTTTATTAGAAAGTTTTTGTTTCAAATACGGAGTAAAACAACTATACCCAATTTCGAAATTTTTTTAATTACGATTTTAGCCATAAAAACTCTCCTCGTCTAGAGAAAAATACCTTTCCATTGGTGTTCTCGGTTCTGAAATCGGTTCGGTAAATTATAAAATTTAATAATCCCGGAAATAACTCAGTTATGAAAATCTAAATATGGATGTATTGATTTTTTTGCCATTTTTACTCTTAAGTAAATATGTGAT